TTTATTTTTATGAGTTTCACTCTTGCTCAGCGGGAAATGAGACTAAAAATGAAGATTATTCTAGAAAATCGGTTAATATTTARATATATATATAACGGAAAGTATTTGGTCCAGGTGTCAAGATTGTTTAAGGGATTTGTTCTAATTTTTTCTGTGATTCTTTCGTCTATTTACTTWTTCATCTTTCCGTCCCTCCCCTTCTGTCTCCTTCCTTCCCTCCCTCTCTTCTCTTTCTTTTTCCCTTCCCTTCCCCTCGCCTCCCTCTTAYTTTTCAACACTTTTTCTTTCTTTCTTTCCTCATTTCTTTTATGTCTCTTTTTACCTTTTTCAATTTTTTCATTTTTTCCCATGAAAACCTAAGCCGTTCCGTTGACGTAATATATCTATAAAAATATAATAATAAGACCCAATAAGAATGTTGGACAATATAGAAAGGCAATATACAACATAATGCGTGAAAGTTTATGAATATATCGCATCAGCTGAGTGCCATCAGTTCAGTACTGAGCCTCGTTGCCAAAAAAAGCAGGCCTTTCTTTGCAAGATTTTTAATTTCAGCAAATTTCGTTTCGAACCTTCTAGAAATCATTTATTTTTTGTTGGCATAGCTAAACTGATTCTCTCACGTGGCGACCAAAGACCCGACTTCCCATAGCCTAAAACTATACAATCGAGTTGGTTACATTTAGTTATGAAAAACGAGGCATTTATTTCGTAACATCTGTCGTGTGTCTTTTCAGTATCCTAGCAACCACAACCTTCCTACCTTAATTGAATCACGTGATTCAAACCTTATGACGTCAGATGTTCTTTTTTCATAATCGTGTTCGTCCTGTTGTATATTTTACCGACCGTTACGATATTGTATTATAAGAAATACAAATAAATGCCTTTTTTTTCTTTCGCTAAAGCTAAAAAAACGATTGAATAAACTATATAGCTTCAAGCTTCCTCTTTTACTCCGACGAAGGACTAGCGTCCGAAACGTCAGTAAGTTTTTTCATCTTTTCACGGTGTATAATTTACCTTTTCATCATTACTATATAGCTTCAAATAAAGCCATTCTGCATATCTTTTCCATAGTCTTTGACGTTAATTTATGTTTATTAATCAAGCATTTTCCATCGTTTTTTATCCACTTATTGGTTGACGTCTAGACCTGTGATTATGAAAAATGATTAAGAAAACGTCGCACTTGAGATTGTAGCAAGTAGATTTTTCTTCGCCTCATTCGGTTTTATCTTATAACAAAAGAAGAAAAGTTAGAATATACATGTAAGCTTGTTTCCTAGAGAGCGAAAGAAAGAGGTGACAGCGGGATCGTTACCTTGATGAATAGAATTTGTCTTCTTCATTATAAACAAACACGTATTGGAATGAATGGAGTGAAGACGACAAGACAGAAAAATTAAGGGTTTAATGAATAAAGAGAGAATAAAATAGGAAAGACAAAAACGAAACAAAAGGAAGAACTCTGTTAGTTTTTTTCCGACGGCTATTTCATCAACTGGGGCAAAATGTTTCTTCCAAAATTTACCTGACTTTCCGTTTTTCCCCTTCGATATTTTATTTTGAAAAAGTGTTTTCTTGCAATATAGAGCATCCTACAGACTTTATAGAATATAGAATTACTACACATTGCGGAAAAAAATTAAAATTCACTCCATTCTCAGCACAACTTGTCCACATCAAGCTGTGAATCGGCAGATTTCGAAATTTCGTTGTACCAAGGCGCCCTAGGACATTCGTAAATCCTGATTGGCGCGGATTTAAAAACTACAGCCCACGCTCAGCTGACGTCTTTTGACGCACAAAAGAATTTGAATTATGCATGAGGGATTTATCATTGCACTGCTCTAATAGAGCTGGTTGACTGATTGAGTACAATATCTAAGGTTGAACGTCACGCTCGTCTGTGTATCGAAGGTCTTCTTCACCTCGATTCTACAAAATTCAATGAAATTTCCTGGATTTTTCACCACGGTAAAAATTCGCAAAATTGTTATTTATTTCTACAACGTTTCGTCCGTTATTTAAATTTTCGTTGAGTCAGTATTCGTTGAATTCAATATATTTGTATGATTTCAACTTTATAATTTAACGCTTTACAGAGATCTCTACTTAACGTTTATAATGATCGTCGTATTTTTTTCTCGTCTTTTTTCTTTACAGTTAAGTCGGAGACCGACAATACAAGAATTGAAAGCGAAGAAAATTATTAAATTTAGCGAATATGTGGATTGCTTGGAATGCCACGACTATGACAGGAGGTAGGCACTGCTTTCTTTGTTATTTTTTATTTCTTAGCAAGTCTTAGTAGAAACACAGAAAACCTGAAACATGGAAAACCTCTCCTAAAACAAAGAAAAGTAGAAAATCCTGGTAATTTGATAGTCATGTTTTGTGTATAAGACTCGATGCAGAGAGAAAACGCCATCAGTTTTAAAAACGACGGAGTTGAATTTTAAAACTGGTTAAAAACTTGCCAAACTGGTTACTTTGTTCATGGTGATTGAGAGACTTGCGTTACTTGTGATGTAATTTTTTTCACTGAATTTTTAAGGTCTAATTTAATAACACGGAAGAAAAAACAATTTTTCCAATCTATAAAAAATGCATTTTCACATTCTCTATTTTTCCTAAAGATATTTTTTCTATTTTTCAGAGCTGACAAGCCGTGGACTCGTCTTACGCCTGAAGATAAGGTACACTCCCTATTTATTCAGAAATCTAGAAAATCTATCCTCGGAAAATAACTAAAACCGACAAAGAAAAGACAAACTTAAGACTGTTAAGCTGGGTAAACAAGGATAAACTTTTTAAAAAACGTTTTTACTTTGGGCGTAATATTTTCCCATTGTCACATTTACTTCTCTTGAGTGTTATTCTGTTGTTTATGAATGAGACTGAGAAGATGAATCAATAGTGCAGCTCAAACGAATATTTTTTTAAAGTAGTTTGAAATGAGAAACCAATCCACGCCCTGAATGGGCTTGAATATTTCTTATACCCATTCTTACATAAGATGTAAAAATGTGTTTACTCCTGTCTAAGAGCAAATATTTCTGCTTGAGTACTATATTACTGTCTTCAATGTAAACCCTTTGATAATACTAATGTAAGCCTTGTTTGCAAGAGGTATGAAATGACAAAAAAAACATTACATTTAAAGTGATGAAAGGGGAAAACATTAGGCCCAAAGTGCATAAGCTCATTTTTTCATTTTCATTTTATACTTATTTTATTAAATGATTTGGAGTATCTTGAGTGTAACTAGCATAAGACAGAAGGTTGCTTTCATGATTGGAGTACTTTTTTCGAAGTGGTGAACTTAGTACTCTTTCATATGATTGGCTTACATGCTATTTGATTGGCTTAAAGAAAACCCTTTGAGAGCCACTAAGTTGCCACTCACTCCAAAAAACGTGCTGCAAAACTTAACGATTTTTTTGTGCAACGTGACTTCTAAAAAACAAACAGGGCCTCCAACGCCGGAAAATAAACCGCCAACAAATGAGAATTTTTCCAGCAACAATGGATACAGATTATTTCTGGATACAAAGACTGGAAAATATCAAAAACAGCTTGTCTTTTTTAGAATGCATTTTCTTTTCTTTTTAGCCTTAAGTAAAGACAATATTATGAAATATAAAGTCTTCAGCTAGAAGGGCTAATTCTTCGTTCGCTTCCATTCTTGGTTTTGTTGCCTACGTTTGCAGCTGCATGAATATCACTAAAGATATCACTTGTCTTTTTGGTAAGACGGTTTTAAAGCTGGTCTTTGATCTTCTTTCTTTCTTTTTTATTCCTATTACAGGCTGCTATTCGTAAAGAATTAAATGAATTTAAAAGCACAGAGATGCTTGTACACGAAGATAGTAAACAATATACAAGGTAAGATTGAATCTCACGCATTATTAGACTAACTTGTGTTGGAATATTGGTCAGAATATACCGAATACAATAATGACAGCATAGTATTTTTCTATCAAAATAGTTTTGTAAAAAGAAGGGAAACATATGCAATGTCATCAGAAATAACGTACGAATGGCAGCAGAAAGTAAGAGGGTTGTATCCCATTGTGCTTTTGAGACATCAAGGAGTTAAGAAAAGACTTTGTTACAAATCAACAGCGGCCATGTTCCATTCGGTCAAAAAGTGAAGTGTACATTTATCGAAATTCTTGAAGTGGATTTACTTTGGATGACGCCAGCGAGATTTCAATCCGCACCTTTGAAAGTGTCTCAAATTCCGGTCATTTAAATCAGGGGGTTCGTCTTTTGCGCGCTAAATAGCATTTCCTTAAACCCCCTGATCTGGTGATCCTTTCACGTGTAAAGTCACATTCTTACAAAGTAAATCATTTTATTCAATGTAATCAGTTAGTACGCACGTTCTTGAACCTATATACGTCATAACCTCGATTTTGCAATGCAATTTGGGATACCATTAGCCAGAACAGGGCGCCGAAAGTCCATAGTTCTTTGCGTGCCGCTAGCATTATATTGAAGTCCTTTTAAATTTCCTTTCGTCAACAATCCACGTCGAAAATGCGACAACAGTTCACTCAATCACTTTCCTTCCAATTCAGTATATTTACAATATTTTCCCTAGCGCGAGCTCTGGTTGGTCAGTTAGCCATGTCTTATAAGATTACAGATTATAGATATGACATCACACTGTGATATATAACTCGTGTTTTGTTTTTTTTTTGTCCACAGATTTCATCGCCCATAGTTTTTATACCAAGATGTTTCTATAATCAAAGGGGGACGAAGAAAAATACCTTTATTTTTGTTGAGGGTGAATACAAGACAATACCAAATACGTAGAGGAAAATCCTATCATAATGTATGTATAAATTTAATCACGCGAAATTGTAAATAGTTTATTGTACAGGAAATTTTTTACTCATAGAACAGAATCATAATATGGTCATTTGAAGAACAATGTCCGGGAATCTTTGCTGGTTGAATTTGCAAGGTTTCCTTCCGGCCGTGTCAGAGTTTAAGAGCCTGGGTACTACTTTTAATGTCTTAGTACGATTTCATGGTATTTATCAAAAAGAGTGCGACTTGGCGGGAATTTYTGAATAAATTTGGGGAATATTTGTAGCATTATGGGTAGAATTTTTCGCATTCTTTATTAAGGCTGCGTCAATTATGTTACACTACATAGGGTGGGGTGGGGATGATTTTTGGAACAGTCGCCCCTCCATATCCATGTATGTAGTATACATGATAAGTGCAGTCTTACTACATTGATACCAGGCTCTTTTTACTTAACATTGCCAAATTAATACTCTTTTCCTAAAATTTAACGAAAGACTGGTAACGAGCTCCACCTGCATGGAATCATGGGAATACATTTCTTAATTCCAAAATTTCTCTTTGCAGTCTTTCTTCGAATTTTCGAAAAGAGAGTTTTTCAGAATCAACTTTAAATGATAATCGTTGCTATAGCAATATRACTTAAATTCTTCACTGGTGTTTTTCCCACAATCGATTTCGCGCGCTTTTTAATCATGACGGGAACAGACTCATTCCAATTCTCTGCGTCTCCATATCTCTCGATTGAAATTTAGCAGTTTTAATCTTAGTTTTTTAAAAGTTATGAGCAGGCTTATGAATTCGTAATCAAGTTATTAAACGTTGAACTATTTGAATTTTCAGGCCAGTTCTTAGCCTGGCATGTTACAGAATTTTTTTCTAATGTATCTTAAAAACACGTCTTCAAGTTTTAGAAGAATATTAAGTTATATAAAAAATGTCTATTTTTTAAAGTGATTCGTAGATTTTCCATCTCAAGTTAATTTTCAGTTTTCACGTTAAGATGCACCATTTTGCGGACCTAAACATTCTTTAAAAGCGACCAGCGAGTTAAACATTTCTTAAAATYCTTTCAAAATGGTGGTTCTTGGAATCACGAATTCTGTGACGTCATAGCCGCCATTTTGGATTCCAAACTAACTGATTATTTCTTTTTCGTGCTTTCTTTCTTTTTTTATACTTATGCCACCAGAATAACCTTATTCATAGGATCATAATTCTTTTTTACTGGATTTATTTCTCGATTCAGTCATTCACAATTTGTGACTCGACCGTCTCCGTTTGTATTTCACAATCAAAAAAAGATGTATATTTAATAGTATCTTTCTTACCAGATTTTTAATGCCTTCAAAAACTCTTGTTTTATAAAAAGTGCATGCTCCTGGGTGACAAAAGTTTGTCTCGCCTCAAAGTCAACTCAAACTTCAGCTTTTCACTTTTGTTTGAGTTGGGCTCCCTGTACTTTGTTTGGCACTAATATCGTTCCCAGCTCCTCGGAGTATGGAATAACGCATGCGTATTCTCTTTAGTTAACGTTTAAGTTAATTGGCGTGACTTACTTATGCCGCTGTACGATGATGATGAAACACTAGTACATTAGTTAATTACTGGGAYTATAGTTGTAGAAATGAAGTTTTGACTTGTTTCTAACATGCACAGGACCTTCCTCCCGATAAAGTAGGTTTTGGCACACGTCAATCAAAATGTTTCCATGACATTGTGAAGAGACATTAATTTTTCAAGGGTATGTGCCTTTTAAATATCAAACGGATTTGGAAACGCTTTGATCATACCGTCCACCAAAACCTACTTTGTCGCAACAAGTTGTATCATTGGGCTACACGTTATTGAGAATCGGTTTTCTAAGACCCCTAAAACTCTCAGACGTGGAGTTTTGTGACACAGGGGCCAGTTGTACAAAGGGTAGATAGCGCTATCCGAGGGATAAATCTTATCCAGTGGATACATTTATTGGATAACAGCATCGGCTTATCCACTGGATAAAAATTTATCCATCGTATTATAACGCTATCCACCCTTCGTACAACCGGTCCAAGGCCTTTGTAAATTTGATAGTTGGAAGAATGCAGAATATTTGTGCTCTTGCAGAGAATCAGACAATGAATTTTAAATATTTCTAGCTCAAACCAAGAGAGCATAAATAACATATTTATGCTCTCTTTCTCAAACTTAGTACTGATTTGTTCAAAGCCTCAGTGCCAATCAAAACTGGATTAGCACTGACACGTCAGGCTTTGCACGACAGGGCTCCAAACTTCAGAACCTTGATTGAAACTGTGACGATTAATTTGTACATAAAATTTATATCCTGGTCTTAAGAATATGTAAATAAATTAGGCTTTAATTAATAAAGTACAACGTTAAGAGAAAAAGTTGGTATATGAAGAGTTTTCTTACACAAGCCCGCGTTGTTAGTGGTTCCCTTTTTACCAAACAAAACCTGCGCATGCGCTGGCATCACTCTCGGATACTAAGTTATATTCTGGTACCCAGGCCTCATCTTTCTTTATTGTCCGCCAAAAACTGGGAGACAGGAAACGCGGCCATGCAGTTATCCCAGAGTAAGAAATACAGTATGAGAGAAAAGAAAAGAAATTTGATTGACACCTGCCACAATCTTTATATTTACTTTCATAATTTGTTTTGAGTTGAGTATGACGATTTCTGTCAGCCACGTTTTTGCGTTTCATCACTCGCCCGCATTGTTTTCCAAATATTACTAGTTTTTCTATATTTTTTCGCTTTCGAAAATGCAATTCTATCGGCTAGAATAATCCGGGGGGGGGTTCTCCGCCAGAATTTGGGTAGGGGTGTTCCGCTGGGATTTTGAAAGGGGTACCCTGTTTATGACAAAAACTCAAATTTGTAGACCCTGTTTATGACAGAAGATATAATTAATTGCACTGAGTTCCTGTTTCAATTATCATGTCATCTCGCGTATCGTTTTTTTACGACCATAATAAACAGTTTCGGTCAATACGAAAGTAGAAACCCTGAATATGACAGGAAACTCAGGAAGAACTTGGAGCTTGAGTGAAATTACATACCCTGTTTATGACAAGAAGCTCGAAAAACCATRCCCTGTTCAGCGGATCATCCCCGTATAGTCCATATATGGGAGTACCTCCCCCCCCAGAAGAATAATCAAATACCATTCTTAGTCTCAGGATTATTTTACTTTCGAGTAAGGCAGAGCTGCAGCTCCTTCTGAGGTGTCAAAGTGGCCATCATTCCCCAGTAATATTCCTGTTTGTTCTCTTGTTCCGAAATACAAAGTTTGTCAATTTGTTTCCCAAAAATATGACTTTTCGCAAATTTGTCCCCTCTTTCCCAGCTGAAAAAATTTGACAATATCCCCTGGAGGGTCTYCCTTCTGAAGATTTCATAAATTCGAATAAATGAATATTTAGAGAAAATCCATATCGATTGCATTATTTTTTGCTTAGTTTAGTTTTKCAATTTTTAAGCGAACGGGAGGACATTCGTTGTGAAGACCACTGTTAGAAAATCGAACTACCGTTAAAAGCCTAAAATGTAAGAGCTACTACTTAAAAAGTCGCTAAATTTAGAAAGCTAATAAATCGCTTGTTTGAACGCATGTCGCTGGTGTTTCGCTACATGATTTTGCCCCGGGGCTACCGTGGATGCAAAGACCAGGCTACGTGGAAAGCAGAACTTCAAAACCGACCAAAATCCTATAGAAATTCCGAAAGATGAGAGTCATAAGGATTGTTTTTGATTGACACCGAAAAATATTCAGGTACAAGAAATTAAGGAAACCTATCGTTTCGACTACGACAAAACACCAACATAGTTATTATGAATTAAAATCGTTCAGCTTATTGTTATAATCATGTGTAGTAAAATATTAAATGCAATGCAGATCGCCTTACAGATATGATCATAAAATTTTAGATCAGTTTCATCATAACAAGGTTACATTAAAAAAACAAGGTTAAAAGGTTACATAAAAATTTCGATTTAAGTTCTATAATACGGCTATCTGATTATAGATGAAAATAATAAAATGTCATAATAATAATAAGACTTCTTGTTTTATGTAAATTATTAACTCTATTATGGTTGGAAGATATGTCACGAGATCTGCTGCCACATCAAGACTTGTCTTCTCACGCTAAAATAGCTATAATATCATTGCTGTCCAATAGTTTGGCTAGTGAAGAGAAAAATATTTTCTTCATATTTCAGTCTACAAAGTCACTCCTAGTCTAGTGGCTTGAGAGTCGGGTCGTTTTATTTGGGTTTAAGAGTTAAGCAGTGTGATAGCCTTTTATCGCGGTTAGTAAAAGAACAAGAAGTCGAATCCATGATCCTAACAACGAGCGATTGAATGAGATCCAGGAGAACCTTTAACCTGTTGAGCTTCTTGGACGAGAGCACAAGGCATACAGCACATGATGGACAGGCAATCAGTAACAAATGATCCTCCAATTCCATGTTGTTCACGAATCTTGCCACGGACGCTTGCCATCGTGACGAGATCCAACAAAGGAACGAAGAAGGCAAGTCCACACAAAAGACAGCTATCTCCAACCGCCTCGGCGTTCTTCCCAGCCGTATAACACGGGCAGAACAGAGTTATCAGACAAGTGCCACAATCATTACAGCATCCAAACAAGCCGTTGTCCCATTTACCAGACATTTTACAAGCAATTCCTTAGTAGAACCTAATCCAAACTCAATAGAATCTGTATATATATTAACAACGCCCCTAACGTCGATCAACTGCTAAAAGCCCACCCCCATTACATTACGGTCTGTGGGGGGAGGGCTAGTTGTAAGACCTTGGAACCAGCTCTCTTTCCTCGACAAACCCCATGCAGCCCAAGTTAGTCTTTCATTCTTAATATCATTCTGCACTGAACCGCATAATCCCTGCGTCAAAATAGATTTGGCAGTCATGCAAGAAAATAATTTAAGCTCAACCATTGTGACAAATTTTAGGTTTTGATGTAGAAAAAAAGTTCATCTAGTTTCGCGCTAAACGTTCAAAAACATTTACTTGGTTTAGGACAATTTAAAAGTCTTTATTCTGTTTAATAGAAATTATTGTTAAAGAACAACAACAAAATAACTCCAGATACTCAAACTGAAATACAAAATGAAACTAGCCTTAAGCAGCTTTAAAAGAATCGAAGCAGCTGATGCAGTAAGCTTGTAATAGCAGTAAATGAGCTTTTCATAGCCTGCGTGCAGCCGGACTTTTCTCTCGTATAGTCCGTCGGACTTAACAGTTAGTTAGTCCTCCGTTTTGATGGCGACTCGCTACAACTCGAATAAATTATCGCAGTCACCATGCATTGGCCTGGTGGTTCTACCAGTTGGACCAGTATACCAATATCTGAATGACATGTCAATTAGCTGTCAAATAGACATCCGTTTTTTATGTGTCTGTCTTCTTATTGACGATTAATTGCGTCATCACATTGGAAAGTAGTGTCGATCCACCACGCGTTAACTCGAATTAGCTACGTAGAAAAAATGAGCTTTTCATAGCCTGCGTGCAGCCGGACTTTTCTCTCGTATAGTCCGTCGGACTTAACAGTTAGTTAGTTCGGCTGCACGCAGGCTAGTTTTTCATGGATCGCAAAACCTTTGACGAGTACAGTGACGCCGACACAACTGTGGAGTTTTTAATTAAAACAACGACAGAAACGATGAACACAAAATAAAAAGCGGGGGAAAACAACGCCGCCGTTTCCAGATTGATCATGAACATAAGAGGAGACAAAATAATCTGCTTTCCAAATTATATTCTCCTCTTTTAAGAATAAAACTTGTCTTTTTTATGCTTGTGGTTTTGTAAATATTTTAATTTGTTTTTCTCAAGTAAGAGGGGTGACACACCTAGCAACAAAATCACGTAACAGCGTCGGCTTTGCCTAAACGTTTGGCCAGCGGTTTTCTTTTTATAGCAATCCGATTGGCTAAGAATTTCAAAATATTGCGCTCGATGTTGTTCCAGAGCTACATGTAGCATAATTCAACTTTTGAAGTATTGCACGCAATATTGCGTGACACAACCACAAGGCTAATGGCGTGGACAAACAGCTACAAAAACATTTAATTTTTTTTTTTTTTTAACTGGTTTCTTTATTCAGCTCAATTTGTAGGTGTTCGGCGTGAATTTAAATCTATAGTCTTAAAAATTGGCTCAGTGCGATTAGAGTTAAGTGACTCACTGTATGGTTGTAGTCCCGAGCATTTTAGGGAAGAAACAGAGACGCCATCTTGGAAATATGCCCCTGAAACAGCCCCAAAATGCACTGCAATGCTAACTAAAACCCAGTTTTTTCCTCAATTTCAGAACGCCTATATCACTGGAGTGGTGGTGTTGAGGGGGGAGGGGGGGGGGGTGACAGTGTTAAAAGTGGTATACGCGAGATGTCAGTGTGTGATCGTGAAATAGTGGAGGGAAGTGGGGAAGTTAGGGAAATGAGGAAGAGTCCGGACTGGAAGGGATGGAATGTCCTAGGAACAGAGGCATATGCAATCTCTTTTAAAACCTCTACTCCATTCTTGTCTCAACATTGAGATAAAATCACAACTTACCGCCACAGCCAGACATCTCTTTGTTTGTCGTGTAATGTTTAAACTCCATGTCAGTTTTTACATGTAAACATCCAGACGGCTTAACCAACCTTCGCTGGAGTTCTTTTAAGACATAAGGTAAACATTAATAACGTTTACAGTCAAAAGTGCCCTATTTCTTGAACAAAAAAGCAATTAACCCCAGAAAACACAAAACCCTTGCGTAGCATAGCTTACACGTACGCCATCTGCTCATTGAACAAATAAAAACGATTGGTTATCAGTGGCTTTTATTTTTAAGTTGTTTTTTTTTTACAAAAAATTTATTTCAAGAGTTATATAGTCTTCGATTCTTGACAACTAGTCTTGGTCAGCATGGGCGAGATTGCGGTTAAATTAGAAGAAATAACAAACCTACCCGAGAAATTACACCGTGATGTTAGCTTTAGTAACCTCATTGATATACAAGAAGAAGAACCAGAAATAATCACGATGGATGAGAATGCTGCACCATTCTGCATGGATGAAACCGTTAGAACCACTTTACCTCTTATCGAGAGAGAAAAGGCTATAGATGACACATTAGAATGGCTTCGAAAACAAATGGTACGAATGAATGAGTGTTTGTCAGTCAATGAACTAAGGGGGAAAGTTTTGATTTATGTAAAGTGTAAGTCAACAGATTGAATAGATGATTATAACAATTACAGTGGTGGTCGTTCGTTTGTAGCTTTGACAGTGACGGTGAAAGCCGTATTGAATAATCTTTTCAATAGTAATATCTTATACGTTTTATACTATATACACCGTGGAAAAACAATTTTTTTTGTCTTCAAAAAGGTGCTTATGAATTACAAGCAAACACGATAGTTTTATTTACTCGGAATTGGTTTATTAACGTTATGAAACTTTTAAATCTTCTGTCGCGATCAATGCCTTCTGCTCGGATTATCATTCGTGCCTTTTTTCCGAGACTAGACTAAACAATATTGCATCATAAAACTTTTGTATTGCCCGGATTTTTGGAACCTTTCAGCTCAAATTTAGTCATAGTCAAACGCGTTAATTCATGCCATTCATCCTAGAACTCAGATAACCGTACTATTAAACTGGCAAAGTGAATTGTCGATCGGTAAACACGACTCCTAATTGAACAAATTATTTCTACCATTGTTGGTAATTCAAGTTTAGACGTAAACTTTTTAGGAATCCGGTAACGATAATCACAATAAGTTTATTTGGATCTAAATGCTTTTTAAAGATAAGAAAACATTTATCTTTCGCAAAATTCTTTCTTGGTCGTCATGGTGACGTATTGCCTTTCCTCTAATGTCCATTCTGTAGCTTGATTTGTTGTTTCAGCTTTTGTGTTTCTTGAAATCAAAAAGAGATCAGAATTTTATTGGAATTGATGCTCTGCGCATCTTTTAATGAATTGACGTGATAACGGGATTAAGTCTAAAAGGCATTAGCAAGTAGCGACTAGTTTTAGCTATTTTCTTTTGTAGGAATTTCATGCTTTTAATCATACTTTTCACGTCTTTTTGTTTTTGCTCTTATCTGTCTAACGTACATAGAGAGAAAATGAATGCGTACTTCATAAAAATACGTGCGAATCCGAAGGTTATCCGAATGTCAGACCACGAGTCATTATCTTCAGTATTGTTTCTTTATTTACTAAACAAGGCGTTCACTGGGTTGCCTGTATCATGCACAGAGGCCTAGTATAAATAGTACAATACAATGTTAGCCAAAAGATAATGGAATGTTTCACAGAAAAGGATAATTTTGTCTTATAACACTAACCTCAAAGGCGATCTTCTCTCTTAAGGTGTTCTTTACATAATATTAAAAGAATTGCAGGTTCTGCCCGGCTCTTTAGGCTATAAAATAAAAGGTTTTGCGTTGTCACACTACTTGTGAATTTGATGTTGCGCCATGACGCAACAAGATCAAATATCCCAATGTTCTCTGTCAGAATCATCAATTCATTTTCTTATCTTTTTACCATCCTTTGTTATTATATTATTTACTGGGGTGGCTGTTTATATCCTTTGTCAGAAAATGCAGGCATTGCGCATTGCGCAATAGTACCCAGAAGTCTTCACGGCACCACCCACTAGTCCTTTGCGGGCATATGATATAAAGATCCAAGTACAGTAAATGTTCTTGTCAGCAAACTTTGCCAAAAAAGAAAGGAAAGCATAGCTCTACTTTTCACGGATCGATATTGCTTATATGACTGATAACATCTGATTAAACTTATGCAGTCTTATAGGCAACTGACTAGGAATAAATCTTTTTTCACTAAAAATATTGACTTATTGATGAAGAATTAAATCTAATAAAAAATGGATTAAAAAAAAGAAAGAAAAATCATATGTGGATAAGAGGGAATTGGAACCCACCAAAAGAAATTCAAAAAAATCGATTCAACTTTGCCATACCCCCGAGAAATCCGCAGAGCTGAGGCGGCGTATGGACTTCGGACCTGACGGCGATTAAATCCTTCTGCCCTTGGGTGTACGAATTACGCAAGAAAATGTTCTAGCCGAAGCATCAGGGGAGAGACCAGCCGGCCTCCAGACCATATCAGCTAATCCCTTGCATCTCTGCCACGCACGGAATCGGTTGAAAATATAATGTTAAAAAGTCTAGTCTATTCGGTGCATTGTTTTCATGGCTATTGTTATGCTGATTCACCTGGAACCGTGGTCCAGTGGATAAATCGTTGTCGTTCAAGATACTGAGTCAAGCTCGTCTGAGGAGGGTTAGCACTTGGATGGGTGACCTAAATATTGTACCTACTCTTGGTTTTGCTCCTTTTTTCCGATTTTCCTATTTTGATTTTAATAATAATAAAATAAAATAAAAATTCAAAACATGTGATTCGAAACTCCACCCCAATCAATCACTTTGATAAATTAGACTATATCTGTATCATATGTCCGCAAAAGACTCTTTGGTAGTGCCGTGAAGACCTCTGGGTACTAGCCCTATTAGATTGGGCTGCCACAGGCAACCCAGTAATGACCGCTAACGATGAAACCAACCCGTCTCCAATCACCAAAGATAGATTGGGCCCTGGGAAAGGAAATGGAACGTGATCTGAAATGGATAATACTTTCCCCGAGTGCGATTATCTTTCTGTACACCTGCGAATAAATATCTTTAAATAGCACTAAATTGGCTAAACGTCCTTTCATTTCAGACGTTTTTAAAAGATCAGGATCAAAACCTGATGAGAAAGTTTCTCAAAATACGGACTCTCTTGAATACCCTTCAGCAACGTGGCCCTAGGGGACGCAAAGTCAGTCTACCCGAAGACGCCATAGCAGCGTACAGTCTACGACGGTTCTCCGAAACATCGGAACAACAAGTCCTTGACATGCGCAAAAGATCCCAGTCCGTGTTTGGCGAGGGTATTTCTAAATACGTGACGTCATTGCCTACACCGCAGTCCAGTATGGAAGAACTGAGTGAGGATTAATTGGCTCCAACACAGGCAACCCAGAGCTGGTTTTATTTCGTCACGTAGCGTCATTATAACTGTTATAAATCTCACGTTCTGATTGGTTGGGAGCGCGTGCTTTATGAGAGTACACAGCACGTGCGCGCCCTTTCAGTTGCGATATTCGTATATAATATAACGGTTAGTGTAATTTGTATTTAATAAAAGATATAAAAGACTTGCTTGCTGTACTGGGTGGAGTTATAAAGCTCTTGGAGATTGACAGAACACTCAAGAAGTGCCGAAAAGCACTCCGCTACGCTGTAATTCGTCTTTTAAAATTTAAACAATATAGCTGACAATGCCAAAATGGTTGAGTAATGTGTATTCTTTGATGAAATCATTTGAAAAAGTTTAATTTCTCTCGGGGTATCGCTTCAGTTGAATTTGTGGGGGTGTCTTCCTTCTTCATGCTTTACCTCCTATCATGAATCGTAAAAGACTAGTCGTCTTAATATAACCGAATTAGAATATAGCGTGTTTTATGATCCATGCTCCTACATAAGACGCTAAATTCTTATTCGATCTGCGAGGATTGCCGTGCCGCGCCCTGACTTAGATCAGGGTGATGGGAGGCCTGTGGTTTAGACGCACCTCACCCCCCACAGTAGTTCTTCGGTATAGTGTATTGTGTAAGCAAATATGGCTGCGGACGAAACAGAAGAGAAATGTTCCTCCTTTTGCTGGGCTCTTTTATTCGATTATGACACAGAAAAGATAGTAAGAATACGAAACAAGAAAGTTGGTATCATTAATCGAGTTATCCAACTCCTCATTATCGGTTATATTATCGGGTAAGTTTGCAAAGAAAGCTTCATCCTTTTTTTACTAATTCCATTTTATGAGCTTAGCTTTAACTCGAGTGTCTATTATGGCTCGAAAGTTTGAAGAGTTCAAACTTCACCCAACAACACCCTCAAAGGCTCCCAACATGTTGGGCCCAACAATGTTGGATGTTGTTTGTCAACAATGTTGCCTGCGTTTGCACGGGCCTTTAAGCTTATTGCTCTTTTTTCATTTATTTTCCGGAGATTTTTTTTGAACAAAAGCTTTGCTGTGCTTATGTGATTGCTATTCTTCGTTTGCAATAGACGACATAGCCGCTATGTTGGAAGAATTTGACAAAAGATTTTTCAATGAATTCTTTTGTTATATCTTCCAACATGGCAGACATCCCTTTTGTTATTGTGCTCTCTTGGGATTGATTGCAAACCAAGAATAGAAGAAAAACTCTGAAAATTGTTTTCATTTGGAAAAATGCATTGTTGTCTTTTGATTGTTGAACAAAGTGATATGTAAATAAGTAAGAGTTGATTAAAATCCATGTCTAGGATACAACTTTTGGTCTGAAAATGATATGGTTTAGCTTGCAAAGACTAGCAATATGATATGGAGAAATTCAAGATAGCAAGGAGGTAACCATGGCAACTATGCCACTAGTCATCCCCAATACCGGTAACACTTAAATCTCAGTGGAAATTTGATACTTACCTACAAAAAATATAAGGGGAGGGGGAGGGGGTGAGTGGTACTTGCGTACAAGGGACGTCAGTAGGATGAATAAAATCAGCTAGAAGGTTTGACTGGAACATTACTAACAGGTAAAGCAACAGGCAAGCAACACAAAGCTGGCATACAGCAATCATACTATTGAGGGCTAAGGGACCGGCCATTATTTGGAGGACAGAGCGCTGGTGCAAAATTAAGTATGCCATGTATATGCAATGTGTCATTTTTCCAAACCCCCCTTTCCCTCTTTGATACTAATTTTTCCAGCCCCTCCCCTCCACAGGTATGTTATAATCTACCAGAAAGGTTATCAAGAGTTTCAGTCCCCATACAGTTCCGTCACTACCAAACTTAAGGGTGTGGCACTGTCTAACCTGTCCGGTCTTGATCTTTTCGGAGGACTATTTGTGTGGGATCCTGCAGATCTTGTCATTCCTCCAGAGGTTTGTATTGAATAACATACTGATTACATTTCTACATTTCTGGACTCAGCATCATATGTGAGTTGAAATTGTTGGGTCTTCCAACAGGGTCATATTGAAGACAGATGGCGACAGCCGGGCTATTTTTAAGACCCCAAGTGTTGGTCTCGAACCATGACCTCCCATGTCCATAACCGGCTGAGGCTCTTTCCAATTGAGCCGACCACTGGAGTTGGTTTGACATAAGCATGAATGAAATGTGAATAGAGACATGAGCTGATGATGTTAATTAATTTTGTTCTCAGGAAAATGGAGCAATATTTGTGATGACAAACATGATTATTACCCCAAATCAAACTCAAGGCACATGTCCTGAGGATCCAAGACTGCCAAACGCAAACTGCTCTCAAGATAGTGACTGCACTTTCATGGCATCCATACCTGGARGGCATGGTAGGTTCAAAGTACATGACTAGGGCTAAAAATAACGACCTGTTGTATCAGCAATCACTACTAGCTGAGAACCTGTGAAAATCCTGTTAAAAACATGTAAAAAGACAGGTAACATCAAAATGACCTGTGAAAAAACCTGTGAATTCTTTTCACAGGTTTTGAAACCTGTGAAAGCGTACCTTTTCACAGATTTTTAGGTTATGAAAACCTGTGAAAAAATTTTTCACTTCATCATAAGGTACTTTGCCTCTGACTTTGATTCCGTTTCACTTATAAAAACCAGCTTTAACTGTTATAACTCATTCAACTCTCATAAATGCGACATGGGTTTGAGTTCTGCCACCCTCAGTTTCGTATGTGAGTAGAGTTGTTTGTTGGTTCTCTTCTGTCATTTTAGAGTTTTTTACTCGTTCTCCAGTTATTCTTCCTCACAAAAATCAATTTTTAAATTCCAATTGGTATTTCAGTGGTCAAACATCCACTCTGTAGTAATGCCCTGCTAAATACCAATTATTATTATTGATTATTAACTCTTAACAGGCGTGAACACTGGAAAGTGTATTCTAAGTGACAGGCAACCAAGTACGAAAGTGTGTGAGGTGTATGCATGGTGTCCTGTAGAAACTGATGTGATACCTGGATTTAACTCAAGGTATACACTTTATTAATTACTGCTTTTTTGATATTAAGATTACTGTTATTCCAATCTCTTTTTTTTTGGAGGACCATTAGTTCATCAGTGTAGACTGTTAGAATCATCATCATCATCATCATCATCATCACCATCAATATGATATATGATTATATTATGCATATTTTCATTTCGAATGATTTTGAAAAATTCTCTTTTCCTTTTTAAAGTCGAAAGGTGCCACTCTTAGAGGCTATTAGGAACTTTACACTTCTAATCAAGAACACTGTTGAGTTTCCAAAGTTTCATGAAACAAGGTCAGCTAAATAAAATCAGATATATTCAGTATTTAATGAAGGGGGGGGGGGGGGGGGGGAGGGGGGCCAAGGCCAACCCACTCTTTCCCTTAATTCTCCCAGCAAAACCTAAATTTCAATTCAGTCTTTTAGTATTAGCTGTCCCCTGACTTAGATCACCCCAGAGGTTGTTTCAGGGTTTGATAAGTGAGTTAGCTGTGACATGACTTAGATCAGCCCAGAGGTTGTTTCAGGGTTTAAAAAGTGAGTTAGCTGTGACCTTTTTTAGATCCAGCACAGAGCTAGGTTGTTTCAGGGTTGAATCTGTGAGTGAGCTCAGCCCTTACTTAGATCAGCTCAGAGCTAATAAGGTTGTTTCATATTTTGACATTTTTTGTTTGTTTTACAGGCGTAACATTGATAAAGACATGGAGGATCTTAAAAATTGTGAATTTGATCCAAACAAAGATCGTTTATGTCCTATATTTAAACTTGACAAAATAGAAAAACTGGCTGGAGTTGATTTTGATAAAATGGCTTATGAGGTTTGTTATCACTGTACCAGATTTATAATCAATTGTTAATCTTAAATGTTTAAATTTTATTCTCTTTGGTTCAGCAAAATGTCTAAAATATGAATAAATTAGTATAGGAAATCACATGATCTCGAGTACAATTTGGAATTCATAGGTACGAGCGTAGTTTTGAAAATTTTCAAAATTGTACAAGCCTTAAATTTAGGCAAGTTTGAGAACTTTCAAAACATCCCGAGTATCTATAAATTCTTAATGCTACAAGATTTTTTATTTTTTTGTTTATAATACACTCAACAAAATTGAGAAAGAAAATGAACAAGGAAAAAAACAATATGCGCTAGAAAATTTGGTCAATGATCATTAATAATTAATAAGCAATATTATTGCTTGACCATTTTAGTTTTCTATTTCTAGAGACTGAGAAGATTATATTCTTTCTTACTGTTTTTTCTATCCCAATATGCGTAAATCATTATTTTTATCATTTAGGGAGGTGTAATGAGTGTAGAAATATCATGGGATTGTAACTTTGATCCATTAGCTGCGCATTGTGAGCCAAAGTATTCTTTCAGAAGGTCGGTTGATTTATAAATTAGAAATCATCATCATCATCATCATCATCATTGTCATCATCATCATCATCATCAT